ACTCCCTCACTTGAGATCTGACTTGACAAGGTGGCTGCCCAAAAGTGTACTGTACTCCAGTGGGTGCCATCCCACTGTGGTATACCAAGAAATGAAACTGCAGATAAACTTGCTAAGAAAGGGGCAGAATGTGACCAGGAAGAGAATGCAGTAACATACTATGAGAAGAAAAGAGCCATCCAGGCTATTAGAAGTGAACAGAGTCCGGCCAGAGATGACTACCACTTACTTGACCGGCATGGGCAGGTCATTGTCCTACGTCTCAGGACAGGACATAACAAACTTAACCAGCATATGCACAGGCTTCATCAAAGTAGTTCACCTTTGTGCCCTTGTGGGCTATGTGTGCAGACTACAGAACATGTCCTGCAAGACTGTCCCTTGTTCAGCCCATTAAGATGGGAATACTGGCCCAGTGAGTCACCACTGTACACAAAGTTGTATGGGACTAAAAAGGAACTCATAAAAACAGTCAAGTTCATCATAAGAACCTGTCTGTCGGTGTAAATCAGAAAGCGAACACAAGAAGAAGAAGAAGAACATATTTTTTGATTCCCATTTAGGTTCTGGTAACATACATTTAACATATTATTACAACTATAAAGTTAACATATTCTTTACTTCCCATGTAGGTCCTGCTAACCTAAAGTCAACATATTATTACAGTTATAAAGTTAACATATTTGTTGCTTTCCGTTAAGGTTTTGGTAACATACAGTTAACATATTATTACAGTTTTAAAGTTAACATATTCTTTGCCTTCCATTTAGGTTCTGGTAACATCAAGTTAAAATGGTAAAGTTGGGAGTATTGCCTTTATTGCACCAGGTTTAATCCCACATAGCTTGGTCTTTCTTCACAGAATGACTAGCTGTCTGCTGATAGTGTTACACAAAGCATGAACTCCACAGCTCCATTAACAATCCCCCAAGGATCTCCATCAAAACTGCATCTATGAAACAAACACACATCCTTCCCAGAGTGAAACAAATGGCTTGACCACTCCACCACGAAGACCCCCTCTGTTAACACAAAGATGACCTCAATTCTACTGGGGGATAAAGGGCAGAGGAACAACTCCCCCATTATTGTTCTGAATTATTTTTCTACTTTTTCACTCAGATTACCATTTATTCTAACAGTTTGTTATTTCACAAATATAATGAGAAACAGTATTTGTGAAACTGTTTATTAAATATATTAAACAAAATCCTTTTTAAATGATGTGTGAAGTTAACGCATTTACTTTTAAAGTTGACATACAGCTCTTATTATTCATAAATAGAAAATAAATAAAATTAGATAAAAACATATACAAACTGTATTTTTGTTTCGTTACTTACAATAACTGTTTTTGTGCCTTCTGCTATATTTATAGTTTGTCTTGACCACAGCCAGCTTCAGATAAAGACGTACAGCTCAGCGGGAATTCACCATTATTACAGAGTAGATTTATACATAAATTAAACATTAAAAAAAATTTGTAATTAAGTGGGCTATTATTTTTATTATTATTATTTCTAATAGCCCAATTATTTATCTTCAAAATTATAATTCCTTCAATAATACATGTTGCAAATAATTAAACAGTAGTTTAATGTGTGAATAAATCTACTTGGTAACAATGATGAGCACCGAACGGCTACGGCCGGCCTCCCAAAAATGGGAATTCCCGTTGAGCTGTAGGGCCTCATCTTGAGCTGGCTGTTTTTACCACCATGTTTAGTCTCTCCTCTTCTGCTACTGCGTTAGGAGATACCTTTCTGCCATGTACAGTCTTTCCTCTACTACTACTGCGTTAGGAGATACCTTTCTGCCATGTACAGTCTTTCCTCTTCTACTACTGCATTAGGAAATACCTTTCTACCATGTAGTCTTTCCTCTTCTACTACTGCGTTAGGAGATACCTTTCTGCCATGTACAGTCTTTCCTCTTCTACTACTGCATTAGGAAATACCTTTCTACCATGTAGTCTTTCCTCTTCTACTACTGCGTTAGGAGATACCTTTCTGCCATGTACAGTCTTTCCTCTTCTACTACTGCGTTAGGAGATACCTTTCTACCATGTAGTCTTTCCTCTTCTACTACTGCGTTAGGAGATACCTTTCTACCATGTACAGTCTCTCCTCTTCTACTACTGCGTTAGGAGATACCTTTCTGCCATGTACAGTCTTTCCTCTTCTACTACTGTGTTAGGAGATACCTTTCTACCATGTACAGTCTTTCCTCTACTACTACTGCGTTAGGAGATACCTTTCTACCATGTACAGTCTTTCCTCTACTACTACTGCGTTAGGAAATACCTTTCTACCATGTACAGTCTTTCCTCTTCTACTACTGCGTTAGAAAGTACTTTTCTTCCATGTACAGTCTTTCCTCTTCTACTACTGAGTATATATTTGCTTTATTACCATGTCAAGTTTTCCCTCTTATTTATTTGAGTGTAGAAATACCTTTCCACTTAGTTTAGTTTTTCCCCATCTATTTCTCAGTATAGAGGTACACCTTCTCTCTCTTTTTGTGTGTGTGTGGTGGTAATATCTTTCAAGGATTGCTGTGTCAGTAGGCACAAAGTTCTAGTACAGTCACGTAAATACCACCACAAATTTCTAATCCTGGAGAAGAGAAGTAGAGCTCCTCAACACAGTCCCTATGGGGCTGGTAATTCTGTGCCCCATCAACAGGAAAGTTTATACATCAGCCTCATACCAAGTGACCCAAGCCCTTTCCAGTGAGAGAACTACAGTGTAATCTTCCAGAGGATTGATAAGGAACCATCCAGTTGGCCAGTTAAACAAGCAGCTAGCCAATCAACAAACAAACTAGCCAAACAATCAATCAAATAGTCAAAAATCTAGCTAACCAATTAACCAGCCAGCTAATCAGCCAATAGGCTTACAAAATAGCCATTTAACTAGAAAGCTAATAAAACAACAAGCCAACCAACTAACCAGTTTATCAACAACCAGCCAACTATCCAACCAATCAACCAACTGTCCACATCACCCATTAAGTGTGGACTAGTCTACACAAATATTATATGATCAATGCACCTCTTTACTTTTGTAATGGGTACAGTTCTTGAAAACTATGACAAGGGACACCACAGGCAATGAGAGTCCACAAATGTCACAGATAGACAAAAGATACAATTTAAAAAATTGGGATGCAATAAGATTATCTTTAAAGGAGACACTGTACTGCATACAATAAGCCACATTATGAGGATGGGGATGTTATAGAACATTTTAATATTTCCTACCTGAGTAATTCACAGTGAGCTAAGACTTGAAAAGGTCTCTTTATTTTTTAAGGTCAGTGATGAACCTCATACTTTGTTTCTTTTAACATTTATATAGAAAAACTTATTACTGTCTGTATTTACCACTTTTTAGGGCAATGAAGACTGGGGGGGGGGGGGGGGGGGGCATGAGCCTGAGGATTTAGGGCTGTATGGCTAGTGATGTCACCATTCTGAGCCCTTAAGGTTCACTGCTGCAGATATCATCTGCCTTCATTCATCTCTCTGGGGGCCTTCTCTTTCCAGTTGGTGACACCAAGTGTGTGCAGGTCTGTCTGGACATTTTCTCTCCACCTACAGGTTAAGATTAAGATGTTTAATTTTGTCCCCAACAAAAAAACTCCATCACCCTACTGAGGGTTGAACCCTGGTCTTCTGCATGAGAGCCTGACGTTGTAACCCTCGGCCAGCCGCTATTAAGATTTATAAATACAGTAAGAACTCATGAATGCAAATTTCACAGGGCTTAAAACTGAGCACAGGTTTAAAAAAATGCATGCTAAGGGGCCTAATCTAAATAATATATCCCTCTTGGGACCAAAATAGAGTTCACTTTTGCTGAGTAACCTTCTGACTCTCTCACTCCCAAAAGGTCATAACTGATGCCTAAATAAGGCAACAATGACAGCAACAAACTCATGGGTATACTACATCCGCAGGAGCTAAACACACAACCCTTGTAAGAGTCTTGTGTGCTGTTGGGTGTTTTACTTTGCCATGTCTAAACATAAAATGTTCAAGCGTAAATAATATTGTGACTGGAACAGACAATTAAATATAGTCACACATGGTGCGATGTTTAGGACCAAAAGACTTAAGTGAGTTTGTATTAATGAGGTGGTACAGTTCTACAACCTACAATCTGTACTACAATCACATACTGTACTGTTTGGGATTGATAGACTTAAGTGAGTTTGTATTAATGAGGTTGTATTGTACCACAACCTACAATCTGTATTACAATCACATACTGTACTGTTTGGGACTGATAGACTTAAGTGAGTTTGTATTAATGAGGTCATACTGTACTACAACCTACAATCTGTACTACAGTCACATACTGTACTGTTTGGGACTGATAGACGTAAGTGAGTTTGTATTAATGAGGTCGTACTGTACTACAATCTACAATCTGTACTACAATCACATACTGTACTGTTTGGGACTGATAGACTTAAGTGAGTTTGTATTAATGAGGTTGTACTGTACCACAGTCTACAATCTGTACTACAATCACATACTGTACTGTTTGGGACTGATAGACTTAAGTGAGTTTGCATTAATGAGGTCGTACTGTACTAAAACCTACAATCTGTAGTACAATCTGTACTGTAATGTTTGGGACTGATAGACTTAAGTGAGTTTGTATTAATGAGGTTGTACTGTACTACAATCTACAATCTGTACTACAATAACCTACTGTACTGTTTGGGACTGATAGACTAAAGTGAGTTAGTATTAATAAGGTTGTACTGTAACACAATCTCAGAAAAAAAAATTGCATTCTGAAGCTGATGTTTTTAATGATAACACACCCTTAAAATTGTTCCAAAGACCTCCGGAGCCCGTGGACCACCAAATTTGACATATCTTTGGTGAAAGATTTGGGCAGAGGCTTGCAGATTAAGCTCTCCAGAGAAATGTACTAGGTGAAAGATTTGGGCAGAGGCTTGCAGATTAAGCTCTCCAGAGAAATGTCCTAGGTGAAAGATTTGGGCAGAGGCTTGCAGATTAGGCTCTCTAGGCACTCAAAGACTGTATGAGGATCTTGATCTGCATTGATATGCTGCCCCTCGGTGTAGAATTCATACAATTCTTCAGCATAGGCAAGATACTGCGACAGCTGTTTGCGGACGTTCTCCTCCGAATCTCTGGGATGTTTCCACAATCTCTCCTTGACCTAATGATGATAGGAAATGGGAAGTAAATGTTTCAAGCATTCTCTGTCAGATGATTCACCGTGTGATTATTAGTTATATTGTATAGGAAGGTAATGTAAGAGTCCAGTGTAACTAGATGCTTGCCTGTCAGCCTTAAAGACTTCAGTTCAAATCCACATCAAGGCATAATTTTTACAATACTGGCTCCCAAATCTTATTCCTCTTTTGCTTTCACCCTTATGTTTGTTTTAGTATCCAGAAGCCATGAGTTGTTAACCCTTAGGCTCGGTATTATGGATATCGCAACCTTTCGGCTTTGATTCCATTATAAATACTGTAAATCTGGGAGAAAATGTGGCTTTTCTGCCCACCCCCGGGAGTGAACCCGGACCACAAGGAGTTCGTCACCTGGTCTCCGCGCAATCCGGTTTAGCCAACTACGCTAGAGAGACGGGCGCTTTCACCCTTAATAGGGTGGTTGACACTTTTTTGTGTGCATTATGGTTTACAGCTAGGCTGTGATATCTGCACTTTTCAGCCCTACACATGCACTTTCAGCAAATCCTTGTTCAGTCACATACTTGTTAAGGAGCAGTGTGCCTATCCCCTTCCCATAAATGGGACCCAGGTATGGAAGCTGAGAGTTAAAGGCAGCCAGTATGGTGTTTACCAGATTACACACTGAGTGCCAGTATGTCTAACTAATATCTTCTTCTTCTTCATCTCCTTCTTAACATTCACCAGCTGTAAAATCAAGTGGAAAGCGCTGGTTGTTTGTCAACCTCTGGACTTTGGTGGTTTTGTTACAAAACTGGAGTTTTGCCTGTACGTCCATTCTACAGTTATGGCTTATTTGTACGCCCCCCCCCCCATTTACCAAGAACTGTACCCTCTATATTCGTTCTCCCAGGGAAAAACCCAAGACTTTCAACATGGCCAAATTACCTCAGCTTTCAGGACAGGATGCTGTTTATCAGCCAGTTCTCCCCGATGTTCAGATCATGCAGGATGTTGGTGTCCATGTTATTTTAAGAATTTTTCTGTATAGCTGCCTTTACTTTTCTGAACATTTTCAATTTTTTAGGCTAGGCTGACCTCGGAACAAGAGACACACAGATATTCATTATGTTTCCTCAAGTTCTGCATTGTCTAATGAATGAACCAAGTGCAAAGTCTGCAGATTGCTTCTTGTTCTTTGGACTTGCTAATCTGGCCTGCCGGTCCTACATGTGTATGTCTTAAAAACCTGAAAATATAACAGTCTGTTTCTACTTGCTTTCTGTTACCTGAAGAGTGTGAGGTGGGTTATATTGTATGTTACCTGAAGACTGTTAGGTGGGTTATAGAACATGTTACTTGTAGACTGGGAGGTGGGCTATAGAGTACATTTTCTGCAGACTGTTAGGTGGGTTATAGAACATGTTACTTGTAGACTGGGAGGTGGGCTATAGAGTACATTTTCTGCAGACTGTTAGGTGGGTTATAGAACATGTTACTTGTAGACTGGGAGGTGGGCTATATTGTATGTTACCTGAAGACTGTTAGGTGGGTTATAGAACATGTTACTTGTAGACTGAGAGGTGGGTTATATTGTATGCTACCTGCAGACTGTTAGGTGGGTTATAGAACATGTTACTTGTAGACTGGGAGGTGGGCTATAGAGTATGTTTCCTGAAGACTGTTAGGTGGGTTATAGAACATGTTACTTGTAGACTGAGAGGTGGGTTATACTGTATGTTACCTGAAGACTGTTAGGTGGGTTATAGAACATGTTACTTGTAGACTTGGAGGTGGGTTATATTGTATGTTTCCTGCAGACTGTTAGGTGGGTTATAGAACATGTTACTTGTAGACTGAGAGGTGGGTTATACTGTATGTTACCTGAAGACTGTTAGGTGGGTTATAGAACATGTTACTTGTAGACTTGGAGGTGGGTTATATTGTATGTTTCCTGAAGACTGTTAGGTGGGTTATAGAACATGTTACTTGTAGACTGAGAGGTGGGTTATACTGTATGTTACCTGAAGACTGTTAGGTGGGTTATAGAACATGTTACTTGTAGACTGGGAGGTGGGTTATATTGTATGTTACCTGAAGACTGTTAGGTGGGTTATAGAACATGTTACTTGTAGACTGGGAGGTGGGTTATATTGTATGTTACCTGAAGACTGTTAGGTGGGTTATAGAACATGTTACTTGTAGACTGGGAGGTGGGCTATAGAGTATGTTTCCTGCAGACTGTTAGGTGGGTTACTGGCGCTGCCCGGGCAAAACGTTGAGTTAACATCTACCCAAAATATTTCAGGATCCTCACTAGTGCAACAGAGTTCATGGACTCAGAAAAGAGTCAGAAGTAGAAGGGAGCACTTATGGATTACTACCCTTGTGCCATAATGTTGATCCGTCGTAGAAACCAAAACCTAAACTCTGTTATAGAACATGATACCTGTAGACTGTGAGGTGGGTTATAGAGTATGTTACCTTTGGACTGTGAGGTGGGTTATAGAGTATGTTACCTTTGGACTGTGAGGTGGGTTATAGAGTATGTTACCTTTGGACTGTGAGGTGGGTTACAGAGCATGAAACCTGTAGACTGCAAGGTGGGTTGTATAGTATCTTACCTGTAGACTGCGAGGTGGGTTGTATAGTATCTTACCTGTAGACTGCGAGGTGGGTTATAGAGCATGTGATATCTCTCCCCAGTGATGGGGTCAAGTGCTCTCAGAGTCAGCCTCTCGATGACTGAGTCAGTGGGAATATCCAGAAAAAACACCCTACAGAAGAAACAAAACAGAAAAATCACGAGGCTGTATTACATAAATTATGATATATTCAGGCTTTTTATCAAAATGATCATTTTCATCTTTTATCTTTTTCTGTGTCAATCTTTCTCTCTTCCTATATATTATGTTCTTCTACACTTTCAATCTTCCACTCTTTTTTTTAAATTCTGTTTTTCTAATCTTTCAATCTTCCTCTTTTCCTTTATATTATGTTTTTCTGCTCTCTCAATCTTCCTCTTTTCCTTTATATTATGTTCTTCTGCTCTTTCAATCTTTTTCTATCTTTGTGTTCTTCTGCTATATCAATCTTCCTCTATAGTCTGTTCTTCTACTCTATCAATTTTCCTTTCTTGCTTCATATTCTGTTTTTAAAAAAAACCTTTATATTTCATTCTTCTACTCTTTAGGTCTTCCTTGCTTCCTCTATATTCTCTGTTTTCTTTTACTGCCCAAATTCTTCCTTCCTTTTTTCTCTCCTTTCTGCTTTCTTTCTTTGACAGCCCCTATCCAGTTATTACCTGTTGTCAAGAACTTATGTTGCGACAGAAATGTAACAGAGTTGGAATGATTCCAGCTGTACAAATTAAATAGACCTATGCGTAGTTTAAATGAAAACTGCAGCTACGATACTAAACAGGAATTCACATTTGAAGGTCTTGGTTATAAGATTCAACTCCCTTCCCTAGTGAATGGAGAGGCTGTGCTCTAACAAAAGCCACTGTTTACAAATATCCACCAACGACATTCGGTTTATTTGAACTGGAGAAAAAAACTTTGTTATTAGGAACTTTGCAAAACAACTCCAGCTGAGTCACAGCCACCTGTCCCACATATGCATTGTTCACCTGGGTTTGCACATAGCAAGCCTCAGTGCCTATGACCAGCAAACAGGGGAGGCTGGTACAGGCAACAGTCAAATTGTCCCTGACACAGAAAAACACTGAAAAAACAGTTCCTCTATACAGTTGGTGGAAACTAGACCCAGGGGGGCGTTTACGTCATGAGGAAGACCCAGATCTATAAAAACATCACCCATACTCTGAAAAGGACAGTCGATTTCAGATGTTATTCTGAGGCTGAACTGGGCTGGTCAAGCATGCCTGGACATGGACCACTGACAGATCTTTTGAGGACAGATTTTAAACAACTTAAACTGGAAAACTGTAGGGGAAACTCCTAAGGAAACTATGGGAGTTAGAAAAGAAAACTATATAAGAAACAAGATTGACCAAGTTACACTGCAGCAGTATTAGGACATACTTACAAAGAAGTCATATGAGATGGGACAGAAAGAAATTTTCTTATCATTTATTAAGCTTTGTGGTGACGTTGCCTTTTACACTTTTAATCTAGCAATACCAGTGCCAAACATGGACACTATCTAAAGCATCCGTATGCAAAATCACCACCTACAAGAAGAGATCCCTGAGAAAAGCAGCAACCTAACCATCCAAGATCAAGTGAATTATTTACCTATCAGGCAAATTGTGGGAATGACACCTTGTACTAGATTGATCGTGAAACAGCAGTTCAAGTGGTTTGGCCATCTCGTCAGAATGCAGCAAAATTAAATACCATCACAAGCACTATCAATATCAGCTACAAGAGCTAGAGGACAGCCATGGAAAAAATGGATTGACAACATTAAAAACATGCTACGCCTTCACAGCATGATAATAGCCAGTGTGCACTGGATCGCAAATTATTTCCTTCCCACCATGCCTAATGGCAAAAGTGGTTTATGATGATGATGATGAATCTAGTAATGTGCCAGAAGAGAATGATAGGTTTTTAATTTATTGAATTTTTATTATGATATAATATGGATAGTTTTCATTATTGGATTACGACTTCTAGAGGGACAAGTCTCATATCAGATGTATATTTGTTGTTATGTTGCTGAGTGTTCTGCTTGCAAGATCCTCTAAAATTAAAGAATTTAAATGATCACTGAATCATTGTTTAATGTCTGTGTGCCTGTTCATCATCAAAGGATGCCTCATATCATCATCATCATCAGTTTTCGTTATGCCTAGTGACACATGAGGCTTCAGAAAGGACGTTCCATGCTTTCCTGTGCAGTTTTCCATGTCAAAGATGCCGTACTCAGGTAACTTTCTATCGTTCGTTTCCATGTTGTTTTTGGGAGCCCCTGTTTTCTTTTTTCCTCTGGTGTCCATGTGAGAGCTGTTTTGGTGGGTATATCAGGATTCATTATCATAACGAGGCCAAGCCATTTCCATCTTCTCTTGGTTATCATACTGTCTAAAGTTTCTTGGTTTGTGACTTGAAGTAGCTTAGTGTTTGAGATTGCATCTGGCCAGAAAATTTTGATAATTCTACGTAAACATGTGTGGTGGAAGGCGGACAGCTGTGTGCATCCTTTTTTGTCATTCTCCAGCATTCCGCTCCATAAAGAAGAACTGGCAAAAGGATGCTCTTGTAGAGTCGGAGTTTTGTTCCTCTGCAGTAATTGTTGTATTTCCAGATTTGCCTCATACTTCCAAAAGCAGCTCTAGCTTTGTTCAGATGTGACTGTATGTCCTCTTCGGTCCCTCCCGGCAGGGACACCACACTGCCAAGATATGTGAAATGTTCTACATTTTCAAGAGTTTGGTTATTTATGGTCACTGGTTGTTGGTTTGGACTGCTTGTCATGATCTTAGTTTTGTTTGTATTTATTCTCAGTCCCACCATTTCTGCTGTGCTGTGTAGTCTGTTACTTTTTCCTGTCTATGTTCATGTTTATGTGATAGGAGTGCTATATCATTTGCAAAATCAAGGTCCTCAAGCATGGTGAATAGAGTCCATCGTATGCCTCTCAATGTCCTGTCTACTGTGTTCTTTAGTATCAATCATCAGGTTGAAGAGGAGAGATGATATAACACATCCCTGTCTTACACCTGTCTTTACTGGAAAAGATGTATTGTAATTTTTTATACTGCATGAAAAATCTTTATAGAAGAGAGCAGTTATGTTGACTATCTTTTCTGGAATTCCATAATGTCGTAAAATTTTCCACAGACTGTCTCTATGGACGCTGTCAAAAGCTTTCTCAAAGTCCACAAAATTTATATATATACTTCTCTGCCATTCATTGCATTGTTCTAAAATGTTATGTATGGCGAATATGTGTTCAGTTGCTCCTCTGCCCTTTCTGAATTCTGCTTGTTTTACTCGTAGGCATTTATCTACTCCTTTTTCAAGCCGCATTATAATGACTTTACAAAATATTTTGCTTGGTACTGAGAGTAGAGTAATTCCCCTTCAATTATTGCAGTCTGTTAAGTCTCCTTTTTGGGGGATTTGGACTATTGTTCCTTCAGTCCAGTCATCAGGCAACACTTCTTTTTTCCCAAATATCCTTGAACAATGGTTCTAGAATGTTAGTAGTTGTGGTGGGATCTACTTTGAGAAGTTCTGCTGACAATTCGTCTTTGCCTGGTGCTTTGGTAATCTTTAAAGTGTGGATAGCTTTAAGGATTTCTTGTTTGCTTGGTGGTTCAGTAATAATGTCAATGTCCTGAGAGGCTGGTTGAATATCTGGGGGATTTTCAGGATCAGGTCTGCTCAAGAGGTCGGAGAAGTGTTTAGTCCACTGCATGTCTTGTTTTTGTTCTGTGGTGAGCAGTCTGCCTTAGTTATCTCTGATGGGTATGCTGTGATAATTGTTTCTGCTTCTACAAATTTGCTGGGTAATTTTGTGTAGGGTTTGTAGATCATGTGCTTTAGCAGCATTTTCTGCTGTTTCTGCTAGATTTTCCATAAATCTTCTTTTGTCAGCTCTGACACTTTTCTTTGTAATTTTATTTAGTTCGCTATATTCTAACATTAGTTTGTCTTTCTGACGTTCTGATTTAGTGTGATTTATGAGGCTCTTTATTCTTTTTCGCTTGGCAATATAGTCCATGGTTTGACTGCTTATCCATTCTTTGTGACGTTGTTTCCTGGTTCCTAATATGTTGTTGCTAGTTGGTTTGTATGTTTCTTTGATCTGGTTCCATCTGTCTTGAATGCTGATTGCATTTAGAGTGTCTGGGTCACTTGATATTTTTGAGTTCTACTATAAATTTTGTGGCAATGTCTTTTTCTCTTTAAAGATTAACATTGTAGTGTGCTGTCTGTGTTTTAACGTGCGTGTGAACTTTTTTGAGTTTAAGTCGTAGAAGAGCAACTACAAGGTGATGATCGCTTCCTACGTCTGCTTCCCTTTTGACACGCACATCGAGTAGGGACCCACGCCATTTTCTGTTTACCATGAAATGGTCAATCTGGTTTACATCTCTTCTATTCGGGGATATCCATGTAAGCTTGTGTATATTCTTGTGAGTGAACAGTGTTCCTCCTATAACAAGTTTATTCGCCGTGCAGAAGTCACTCAGTCTTTCCCCATTGTCATTCATTGTACCACATCCTTGATTTCCCATTGATAGTTCTCTATTCAAGTTGTTGTTACCAATTTTTGCATTGAGATCACCCATAATGCATAGAATATCATGGGCTGGTACTTTATCTACTACCTCTTGCAATCTTCTAAAGAATGGCTCATATCATACTGCTCAAAAGCATACTGTGTATGTGGTCAATATACGTGGCCGTGTACGAACCGGTGGTCATTTAGACAAGTACTGTCATAGAAGAATTTATTTCTATTGGCTTCTTTTACTTCTTCTTCTTCAGCATTCCGAGCCCTTGAGATTAATTGCTGTAGATATCACCCACCTCCATTCATCTCTCTGGTTGGCCCTCTCTTTCCAGTTAGTGACACCAAGTGTTTGCAGGTCTGTCTGGATATTATCTCTCCATCGTCTTCTTGGTCTGCCTCGAGGTCTACGACCATTCATCTCCCTGGTGTATACAGTTTTTACTTCTCTATCATCTGACATTCTTTCAATATGTCCCAACGATTTAAGTCTATTAGCTCTCATGATGCCAGTGATCAGTGATGTTTTCAACAGATTAGGAATTTCATTGTTGCTTCTCACTCTCCAGTCACCACTGTTTGCATCTGTCTATTTCTATTGGCTAGCACTGAAAATGTTACACACATGAGTTGAATGGTATATGATGAGTGAACTCACCTGTTTGGTGTGAGACTAGACTTGTCCAGCTGCTCGGCTTGTTCACGGCTGCGTGGATAACCATACAGGACCCAGCCACGAGTGACACAGTCCAGCTGGCACAGGCGATCTTGTAGAATGTCCAGCACAATTTTATCAGGTACTGGAAGAACAGAAATGGGTAAAGTAGAAATTTATGAGTTTTTTTTTAATTACACTACCACAAATACACTAGAACCTGGTCTAGGAGGGAAGCTCCGATATGTTGGTCAGTCAGCCGATTATTAAAGAACTAATGTGACAGCAGGAAAGACAGAGGGATAGACAGGCAAAGGAAGACAAAAACATGTTAGACAGTAAAGTATCTGTCAGTACAAAAGGCAGAAGGTTGTGAGCAGACATGGTGATCACTATCACATGGTAAGGACTGCTTGAAGCAACTGATACACAGTACACTTCAACAGTCATTTTCTTGAAGTCTATTTGCAGAATTTGAGTTTTGCATACACATCCATTTCACAAATCTGGATTATTTGTATGCAGGCTGTTGGTTCCTTGCCTCTCAGACAGATGCACTCTGACACTGAAGGAAAAAATTAGTCAACTCTTTTGATATGCTTTGTGGAAGAGGCATTGGGTTTACTATCCCCCCCCCCCCCCCACCCCACAATGAGGCCCCAGAAACCACACAGGGCCATCAATGTTCAAATATGAGGCACTTATACAGGCCTCAGAGAGAGTATTTACATCACTTCCAAGGCATCAAACAAAGACATACAAAAGAAACTTCGAGACAACTGTTGATGAGAGAGGCCATCCATGATACTGAAACAACTACTAAAGATAGACTTGAATGGAAGAATACAAACTATGAGCCCTAACTGACTTATAATGGCACAACAATATGATGATGAGGATGAGGAGGAGGAGGGGGCCTCAAACAAAATAACATATAATGTATGTACAGATGGTTGTCATTCACATGCAAAGAGAAATAGACTTACTCATTTGACCCTGGTCTACATAAGGTTTGGCAGCCAGGCCAGATTTGGTTTCTTGTCCGATGGCTTGTTTGATCAGTTGAGCACAAGAAACTAAGGGAGATAAACCAAGTTTGGAACATAAAACATAATATAGAATGTTTGTTTAATTCTTTGGGAGTAGATGAATAACTTCTGTTTTTTTTTCCAGCACTCACCCTTAAAAGGGTGGTTAGCATGTTGTTGTTTACAGTTAGGCTGTGATATCTGGACTTGACATTCAATGTCAGCAAATCCTTAAATAGTTGTCTTTATGAGATGCCAATGAAGGAGCAGTGGGTCTATTCATGTTAAAAAAACGTCATCTCCTTGAGGCATGCAATTTGTGTGTGTGTTATTTAGAAGCCTCACTATGACTGTTGCCGGGGGCCCTAATATAACCTAACGGTGATCCCCATCTGCATGGTGGCACTTTGTGTCACCGAGTGTTTATTGCTCTGTGTGATGTCCTGGTGGTATAAAACGTACCTATTCATGTTTTCACAAATAATGAGGCCTTGGAACAAACAGGAGTAATAAATGAATTTTGGAATATGATACTAACATAGCAACACAATTATGCACCTTCACTTTGACTTATGACTAGCACTTTTACCCCAATATATATATATATATATATATATATATATATATATATATATATATATATATATATATATATATATATATATATATATATATATATATATATATATATATATATATATATATATATATATATATATAAGTGCTCTGTGGCTAAATCGATGTGAACGCTTCGTAATGCCGGGTTCGATCCTAGCTGCAGGCCATGTGCCTTGCGTAGGTTTCGACAGTGATATCAAGAAAGCCGACCGTCCAGAAAGCAATGGCAAACTACTGGACATAAATTTGCCTAGAAAAACTACACAACAGCCAGGGGCTGTTGGGGTTGGTTCTGCAACGTCCTGTAAAGGATACACAACTAACCAATATATACATATACACACACACAAACATATCTATAAAAATAAAAGTAGCGAATAATAAAGATTACACTGGTAGGGTTCAAAGGTTTCCGGAGCTGATGCCTAGAGCACAGCAGGGTCTGGACTTCAAAGTCTTCTTGATCCTACCACGTAAAGAGGACCACCTGGAAGCTCAGGCCACCCACTACTTGCTTGTTTTTTTACAATTTGAATAACCCATTTCAATGAAAATGGTGTTGAAAGATATAAATTCAACATATGACCAGTTTGACTTATGACATATTATTCAGACAGGAACACCGTCGTTAAGTCGAAGGGACCCTGTATATTTGTTCTTTTTCTCCTCCTTATGATGCAAGCCCTGGGGTGTCTACCCGCAGCCGGTGGTCTCACGTAATGCTTACTCATACTTTATACAGATACTCCTCGAGCTTTCCTCCTTGGACAATGCACTTCGGTTTTCATTCTCATGGCATACCTAAAGAATGCTATCTTCCAATGTGCGGATAACAAATTTTCTTTGTAAGTTAATTTATTTCAAGACATTACACTTTTTAATCTCATCATGGTGTTGTCATTGATTTTCTATAAAAGAAAATCCTCCCACCTTCCACATAATGTCTCAATAATATTCTGCCTTCTCATGATTTACTTCAATACATCAGGAATTAATCATGTCTGATCACAAAAATATACTTAAAAAAAAAAAATGCATGCATTCTGAGAGGAAGATAATTTTGACATTAAAAACCTGTAATTTAAACAGTGAAATTGATAAAATTGCATGCACAAATACCTTAGGGTTCAATCAATCAACTGACAGTTGTTTTTTTGCATCTAGGTCACTGATAGCTTTTAGGCATATGGTTTTTCCCATAAACTAATAAAAACATAAAAACAAACAAAACTAATAAGATCTGAGAATTATGTGTTGCTCTCTTTTTTTTTAACAGTATCTATTTTAATAATTATGAAAAGCTGTCATGTTAAGACAACTGAGAACACACTGCAAGTTAATTACATTATCTACAGGAGTTTACTGTTTTTAACAGTTTGGTTAACGGAATTAGATAGAATCTGGAACACACAATTTTACATGAATCCTACCTTTGACCAGATTGTACTTGTTGGCTAAAAGAGCTGCCTGCACTCCCTTGCCACTCCCAATGGGTCCCAACAAAACTACACGAGGTGTGTGTGGAGCGTTAGATCTTGGCTGGCTACACAGGAACGACAACACTGGCAACAACAACAAAATTAGCAAATCAGAAGAAATGTTCTGAAGTATAAAGGACTACATTTACCACAATGGATATAACTATTACACATTCTATTGTGTGAACTACTTCTCATCCTTTTTAGGATGAAATTTTTCGTTATTTGAAGCCCTACTCTGGCTTTTTCCAGGGGCCGCAATATAGCCTGGCCATAAATATGGCCTAAAGGCTGAACGGGTTTTCTGGGACCTCTCCACGGGTGATCCTCATCCGCATGGTGGCACTTTGTGTCATTGGGTGTTTATCGCTTGTGTGATGTCCTGGTAGGGTAGAAAGTCAGTCATTCACAATGGATATCTCCACAGGTTTTCTAATCTCTTCTCAAAGATAACCTAAGTAAAATCTCTGCGCAGTGAAAAAAAAACAACCTTTGCTTCTCATCAAGCTTCAAAATGAGCAAGCATATTTATGTCTTATTTCAGCAAAGGTTCTTGTAATGCAGTGGATACCGTCACATTGTCGAGTGCCTGGAAATGAGAAAGCTGATCAACTGGCAGGGGAAGGTGCGACAAAAGTGCAGCAGGATGTACCAGTTACACACCATCAAAAGAAAAGAATCATTAAATCGATCAGGAAACCACTAGCCCCAGCACAAGACGACTATTTTACAATGGACCAACCAGAACAAGTCATTATCCTCCACCTCAGAACAGGGCACAACCGATTACGTAACCACATTTACACAAAATTCAAGAAATGCGTATCATCCATGTGCACCTGTGGAAAGGTGCCCCAGACAGCAGAGCATGTACTCCAGGACTGCACTGAATTTGACACATAAAGGTAAACTTTTTAGCCAGAAAGAACAACATTGGAACGTAAACTTTATGGACCACTGAATGAACTAACAACGACAGTGAAATTTATACAAGAGACAAAACTGCTGATATAGACAACTTATTTCAGGCGAACGAAAGAAGAAGAAGAAGCAAAGGTTCAACTCCCCGCCTTCACATGGTGGGACTGACCAACACAAGAGAAGGGAATATGGTGGCATGGTCAAGCCAGACTGCTTGAGATAGGTACACTCATCATCATTAAGAGCATCATCCAGTGGCTTGATATGTCGTGTGGGCAATCCTGCCTCTCCACAACCTTTCATCTCCAATAGCAGGCATCAGCTTGTATTCTGACACCCACCCAGACTATGACAAGAGACTGTCAAGAATCTTCTCCCACTTTCCTCTATTTCTCCTTTCACAAGTCTTTCCAGTAGTCACATCATGTTCAAGTTTTCTCCTTCTCATAACATGGTCAGAAACTTGACTCCTTCTGATGTTTATGATAAGCTGTTTTCTGGCCCATGCCTTTCTCAAACCATAATTTTGTAACTTTATTTTATTCTGCACAAGCACATATTTACAGCAACAACAAAGTAAAGAACACTTCTCCACGCCTTTAGGTGTATTGAACATTCAGGACAAGATCTTTACTTTACTGACCCATCAACACTCGATGGTTGATGCGGTCAACATGCCAACGACAAACACATATTATTAATCAATGTTTATTGAAAGTGACTTACCTTGAGAAAACACATCAGCTTTGGGCTGATCTGCATTGATCTTTCTGGTTACATTCTCATAGCATCGAAGAATTCCTTCAATGTGGCGATGGTAAACTAGCAGTTCACTGACCATCTCACCCTCAGTGATACCTTTTGGAGCCACAAGCCTCTCTTGGACTTCAGGATTGCCAGGGTAGTCAAAGGTGATGTGATAGACTTCTGCAAGGGATAATCACAAAGATAGACTTCTGCAAGGGATAATCACAAAGATTATCTGCAAGGGATAATCACAGTGATGGAATTCTGCAAGGGATTATCATAGAAATAGAATTCTGCAAGGAATAATCACAAAGATAGACTTCTGCAAGGGATAATTACAAAGATAGACTTCTGCAATAGATAATCACAAAGATAGACTTCTGCAAGAGGTAATCACAAAGATAGACTTCTGCAAGGGATAATTACGAAGATAGACTTCTGCAATAGATAATCACAAAGATAGACTTCTGCAAGGGATAATTACAAAGATAGACTTCTGCAAGGGATAATTACAAAGATAGACTTCTGCAAGAGGTAATCACAAAGATAGACTTCTGCAAGGGATAATTACAAAGATAGACTTCTGCAAGAGGTAATCACAAAGATAGACTTCTGCAATAGATAATCACAAAGATAGACTTCTGCAAGAGATAATCACAAAGATAGACTTCTGCAAGGGATAATCACAAAGATAGACTTCTGCAAGGGATAATCACAAAGATAGACTTCTGCAATAGATAATAACAAAGATAGACTTCTGCAAGGGATAATCACAAAGATAGACTTCTGCAATAGATAATAACAAAGATAGACTTCTGCAAGGGATAATCACAAAGATAGACTTCTGCAAGAGATAATCACAAAGCTCAGAATGCCAAGAGTAATGAACTTGACTCGGGGTACAAATCACACCTGTACCGTTTTATTTATGCAGTAGTTAAGGTTCAGTTTCCATTAAAGTAGGTACCTTCATGTTAGCATCACATTCTCGATCAATTCTAATTATTCATGGTATCTTGTCCATGTTGGTATAACATTATTCATCAAGTCTTCTTTTTCTCTGCGTTTACCAGCTGTAAACTCCCGTGGAAAGTTCTGGTTGTCATCCACTTCTGGACTACAGTTTTGTTTCAGAACTTGAATTTTATGTGCACATCCATTTTACATATCTGGCTTACTTGCATACAGACTGCTAGTTCCTTGCACTAACTTCAGAGGGAAAATCCCAAATTAGTTGCCTTTTATGACATGCTTTTTAGAGAGGCAGTGGATCTCTACTCCCCCCCCCCCCCCCCCCTTGGGCCCCCAATGGGCATCCAGGACCCACACGTGGACTTTACCAATTCTAATTAAACTTGGCGTTGGTGGTAAGTGAGCAAAATAGATCAAGGAATTGAGGATATATAAGAGGAATTCTAAGATGAATGTTGATGAGAGACACCAGAGGTGATGGACTTGAGACCAAAAATCATTTGCCGAGGGTGAAACAGAAGGCAGGAGTCGAGCGAGCCTTAAAATGATGCATCAGGATATTCTTCTTCTTTATGTTCACCGGCTGTGAATTCTGGTGGAAGGTCCAGTTTGTTTGTCCATTTGGACTTTTGGCTTTGCTCCAGGACCTGAGTTTTGGGTGTACGTCTATTTTAGTGGCTTATTTGTGTGTGGTTTTTGTTAACTGTCTCTCGGGCAGATGTACTCTGACTTCGAAGGGAGACGTCGATCCTATCCTATCTCTAGTATGACTGTGGCCATTGTTTAATGGGACATGATGTTGCCTCATTTGTGTGGGGTCCTCTTTATCTCTTTATCTACAGCTGTTGCCCCCAGAGAACCCCTTTAGAGCAACCGCATGTAGAATGGCCAGCCCTCAAGGGAAGGCAGGGGCAGATCATTCCCTGCCATCCAAGGAGGCTTCCATAAACGCAGAGCTAACAAATGACGCTCTGGTTATGGCACATCATGCTTTGCTCATTGTGGTTATGGTGGCCCCTCTGCACCTGTTCTGAAATCTTCTGGCAATGAAAGAGTTAAAGTACAAACTTACCTCCAGTTTTGGTGTCCACTCGTTTGCCCACAGCTCGCTCAATCACAACTTTGTCTGGAGCTTCCAGAATAACTGTTGAATACACACAGGAATCAGATTCTTACAGGCATTACCACAATAACCAGGAGTTTGTGGCTAACAAAACAGAGAACTCAGTTTCTTCTTCTTCTGTACTGACCCTTACATGGGTGTTGGCACACTGTCTTGTGGTTTACAGCTAGGCTGCACTAGCAGTGGCTTTCAGCCCAACACACCTGATTTCGGCAAACTCCAAATTAGTTGCCTTTTATGACATGCTTGTCTGGGGGCCGTGGGTCTGGCCTTTTTTCAACCTAAACAGAACCTGGAACCCACACAGATAGTTTCAAACATATAGTCTGAAGACCTACTGCTACTGGTACCACTGGACTCCTGCAGAAAGTCCTGGTTGTTCATCCATTTAAACTTTGACTTTGTCCCACAGCCTGAGTTTTGCGTGTACATCTGTTTTACTGGCTTATTTGTGTGCAGCTGGTTGTTCCTTGCCACTCTGGCAGATGCACCCTGACTTTGCAGGAAGTCCCCAATTAGTTGACTCCTACAACATGCTCGCTGGGGAGGCAGCTGGTCTATTCTTGTCGTCCCCGACACAGGAGCCCATACAGGGATCAACTCAGTTTAAAGGAAAGTTTTGATCTGAAGAAACTTCAGGAACAATATCAAAGACCACAATCACTTGGTGCAAAAAGTGACTTTACCCGAACAAATATCTTTACACAAACAGAAACATACATAAAAGACAGTGTGTCAGTAACTCTGCAGTTACGTAACTAAATTACAATGAAGAAAGTACTAGAACTATTTGGAGTTAAAGACGCTGATCCACTAATCTTCCTTTTTCCTGAATTTTATGGCTTTTGTCATTTTTTGAACACATAACAGGAAGTACTTAACTGATCAGTCCATCTATTAGCTAAACTCCTTAGCTGCACAGGACTGAGGGTTCAACAGACTATGGCCATTATAAATGCCATAATCATATTTTCTTTTGAGGTTGAACAAGGTATATAGGACTGACCTGTCAACCTGCCATCCAGATTGAGATTAGTAATCTCAAGGTGTCAAACTTTCACGTAGTAGACCGGTAGGGAGAAAAATGCATGCATACAAAACAGTCCCTCAATTAAATGTGAGTTTATCTAACCTCATATATATGTATATATGATCAGTAATTTGAATAAATTTGCAGCTTTGAAAACTAACCTTTAGATCTATGCAAAATGAGGGACTCTTGTCCCCACCTTCAGGCACATTGGGCACATATTTGTATAGGCCAGCTGGCACTCTGTGGATGATGGGATCAACATCAGGATGGCCAGCTTTACTTCCCAGGACTTTACCTGGTACCCATATAAGGCTAGGTCGACCTGGAAGCCAAGGTCATTTTAAAAACAAATCCGGTTCCATCTGGGCTTGAACCCATGAACTTTGGATCTGCAGGCAAGTGTCTGGCCACTACACCATGATGGCTAATCTTTAAGCTATGTGATGAAGATAATTTGGTGGCTATATTGTTACCAGACAAATGCTAAAAAAAACACAATAAAAACACTTAGTGTTATTTTTGGCTCCAAATTAAATACACTACATATATGTTACTGTAAAAGTATACACACACACACACACATATATATATATATATATATTTATATATATATATATATATATATATATATATATATATATATATATATATATATATATATATATATATATATATCTGTGTGTGTGTGTGTGAGCGCGCGCGTGCGTGCGTGCATGCGTGTGCGTGCGTGTGTGTGTGTGTGTGAAAAATAAAGAAAGGTACTTATCAGGCAGCAGTTGGGAACATAGTAAGTTTATAGACTTGTAAGTAGTGTGTTGACTGGTACCAAAAGAGTGATGAGTTCTTTGCTTACTGCAGTGTTTTGGATAGATTCCATTTTCCTGCATGGCCAGGACCTGTTCCCTTGTCTGTGGAAACCCTTCCAACAGCCAGCCCTTCTTGGCAGTGTCCGGCATTTGACAGCGTTCGCTCAAGATCTCCATCCACATGTCAGTTGGCAGAGTCTAAAAGATCATGCTGAAACTTTACCAATTCTGTTTTATTTGCCAGTAAGAACAGCTACTCCAGTAGAATTTAATACAGACATACTGACTAGAGTTATTAACCCTTTCACCTCATACAAATCTGTAAAAATGACCTTTTTTAAAATTTCATTAAAAATTAACGTGTTGTTATGATACTCTGAAACCACCGAAAAATACTAGAGGAAGAAAAGAAGCAGAAAAACTTTGGAGTCTTGGCCAGTTTGTATAAAAATCCAGGAAGCTGAACTTATCACCACAGAGCAGACAGGCAAGCCTACTAGCTACTGTGACATAGCAGCCACTAAGTCACAAAAGAAAATGGATTTTTCTTATTTAGAGTCATTGTTTTGTGCAAACGTTATTTTTTGTTTTTGTTCATATGAAGGTAAGTAATTACTAAATCCAAATGGAGCAGAGAAAAAAACTGCTTTCTTTCCCGTTGACCAAGAAAGCATTTTGTTGATACAGCCACTCAGAACAAAGTAAAGGCATCATAACTTTATTATGACGTTAGAATAACTCACCCAAATTTTTTTTAAATGCCATTAATTTGCAGCCGGTATACCTGAGCCCAATCCCAATCAGCACAAAGAGACATCTTATTCAAAGCATATTTATTCCAACTCTGTGCTACCAGTGCCAGACATGGTCACTCACAACAAACCATAAAAGAAAATTAGTAACCACGGAAATGAGATGTCTGAGAAGGGCTGTAGGAGTGACCATAAGAGATAAGATCAGGAATGAGATCATAAGAGAACAAGTCGGCACAGAACCAATTCTGGATTACATACAAAGACAGCAAGTGAAATGGTTTGCCCACTTAGAGAGAATGCCTTGTGACACCATACCATACAAAGCATACATGGAAAGAGAAGAAGGACGTAGAGCACGGGGTAGACCAAGAACAAGATGGAAGGATAACATCAGAGAAACTCTACAACAGCACGATGTGCCCATGGTCGAGGCAGCCAGAAGAGCTAGAAACAGAACCTTATATCTCCCTCGACACCCACAGCGGTAAAAGAGGAAGTGAAGAAGAAGAAGAAGAAGAAGATACCTGAGCCGTCAAACTGACATACTGGGCACTGTTTACAGCATAAACTAAACATGTCTAGTCAGCAGTAGTTTTAACATAATGCAGAAATTTAACATTTGCAATTGGTTTCCAAGCTCGCCATGTATTTTGTGGTGTGCCCATTGGTTTCCAAGCTCGCCATGTATTTTGTGGTGTGCCCATTGGTTTCCAAGCTCGCCATGTATTTTGTGGTGTGCCCATTGGTTTCCAAGCTCGCCATGTATTTTGTGGTGTGCCCATTGGTTTCCAAGCTCGCCATGTATTTTGTGGTGTGCCCATTGGTTTCCAAGCTCGCCATGTATTTTGTGGTGTGCCCATTGGTTTTCCAAGCTCGCCATGTATTTTGTGGTGTGCCCATTGGTTTCCAAGCTCGCCATGTATTTTGTGTGTGCCCATTGGTTTCCAAGCTCGCCATGTATTTTGTGGTGTGCCCATTGGTTTCCAAGCTCGCCATGTATTTTGTGGTGTGCCCATTGGTTTCCAAGCTCGCCATGTATTTTGTGGTGTGCCCATTGGTTTCCAAGCTCGCCATGTATTTTGTGGTGTGCCCATTGGTTTCCAAGCTCGCCATGTATTTTGTGGTGTGCCCATTGGTTTCCAAGCTCGCCATGTATTTTGTGGTGTGCCCATTGGTTTCCAAGCTCGCCATGTATTTTGTGGTGTGCCCATTGGTTTCCAAGCTCGCCATGTATTTTGTGGTGTGCCCATTGGTTTCCAAGCTCGCCATGTATTTTTGTGGTGTGCCCATTGGTTTCCAAGCTCGCCATGTATTTTGTGGTGTGCCCATTGGTTTCCAAGCTCGCCATGTATTTTGTGGTGTGCCCATTGGTTTCCAAGCTCGCCATGTATTTTGTGGTGTGCCCATTGGTTTCCAAGCTCGCCATGTATTTTGTGGTGTGCCCATTGGTTTCCAAGCTCGCCATGTTTTTGTGGTGTGCCCATTGGTTTCCAAGCTCGCCATGTATTTTGTGGTGTGCCCATTGGTTTCCAAGCTCGCCATGTATTTTGTGGTGTGCCCATTGGTTTCCAAGCTCGCCATGTATTTTGTGGTGTGCCCATTGGTTTCCAAGCTCGCCATGTATTTTGTGGTGTGGCCAGATTTCTCAAAGAAACATCAAGCATAATAATATTCACCTATAAACAAAAACATCAGCAATGACCATTTATTCTATGACTATTTTAGTTGCAGGAGATTTTCTAGTGAGCAGTGGAGACAATAAAAGCACTTTAAAAAAGTTTTAATGTATTAAATATATATATCCAAAAAGACATCAATTACTAGATATCTAGCCAGATTTTTTTTTCTAGTATGCTCACAACAACGTATAAAATAATAACACACCACACATTGTTTAATACCAATGGACCAATAACTAGGACAGACAGAATTAATTTGGTATACTTAACCTGCACCGGCGTGATGCTGACGTCACCCATCGTGTGTCAATTGGTCTATAAATATATAGGTCTAGCCCTATATGCCCTATATGCCTAAAGGTGTGGAAAAGAGACCGTTCCTTTTTTTTTTTTAAACTTTACCTGCAGGTGTAATTTAACAGCTAATATACAACATTAAAAAAAAAAGTGTTATTCCAGAATTTCATGGTAAGTTCATTCACTAACCAATGCACTGGCCAAGAGTTCAATTCCTTTTGTTACAAATAAGCCCAGCTGTGTGTTATCCTGGGTCCATAAGGAAAGCAAAGAATAGTACCACACACACACACATCGAATAATCATGTCATCAGAGGTGAGTAAGGTAACTTAGCATGGAACTGACTCGTTCATACCTCAGAAAAACTTAGCTAAAAAATCCAACCAATAACAAAGGTCTTCAAAAAAAGACAAGATAAGAAACCAACTTAACAGCAAAACTAGAAAGTCCTGCAACTGGAATGCAGAAGGTAGAAGGAAATGGAAAGATCTAAATTAAAGAAAATCACAGACATATTACCTACATTATAATATATGAAAGCAACTAGAGCTGATAACAAAGGATAAGGAAATCTGCTATTAAATGATTTAGTTCATCCTCCACTTGAGTAGAAAAGACAGAAGAAGCAGACTCCGTTGTATCGGAGCGCAGAGCAGGAACGGCCAGATTCGAGAGAAATCCAATGAGAAGACGCCTTATCAAACAACGAGCGCTAAGAAACTGACAAACACAAAGGACAACCTGATTTGATGACAGACCGCACAGTAACCACGAATATAGCAGACAGGGCAGAGAGCAGCAATAATTCTGACCCTAGCTGAAAATGGTCATGGCTAACCTTGTATTGTATTGTACTGACTCCGTTGTAGTTGACGCAAAACGGTTCCTATAAATATCTCTGCTCTTCTACTAAAAAGAAGCCAGCTTAAAAAAATAGGCAGAACTGGTGACTCTTCTGAATAAAAGATTATTGTAAAATATCCTAGAATTTTATTGGCCCATTCACAGATAAAAGCTTCAGTGAAATTAATAATTTAATTTTAACTAACAAAAAAACTGGTTCGGCTAAACAATGGCTTACAGTATAAGTTGCCAGAATGTTCCTGGCTTTTTCTCGAATAGTAACTTCTGCTTCATCGATCAGGCTTTGCTTGGTCAAGTGGACACAGTGGAGCTTGCTACAAATCATTTTTGAAATTGAGTGCTTGCCCGAGGCTGGTGGACCCAGGACGATGATCTTCGGCACTGAGTAAATCATTGGTCATAGATATTTGATTATAAATCACTGGTCATAGATATGTGATTATAAATCACTGATCATAGATATTTGAATATAAATCACTGGTCATAGATATTCGATTATAAATCACTGGTCATAGATATTCGATTATAAATCACTGGTCATAGATATTTGATTATAAATCACTGGTCATAGATATTTGATTATAAATCACTGGTCATAGATATGTGATTATAAATCACTGGTCATAGATATTTGATTATAAATCACTGGTCATAGATATTTGATTATAAATCACTGGTCATAGATATTTGATTATAAATCACTGGTCATAGATATTTGATTATAAATCACTGGTCATAGATATTTGATTATAAATCACTGGTCATAGATATTTGATTATAAATCACTGGTCATAGATATTTGATTATAAATCACTGGTCGTAGATATTTGATTATAAATCACTGGTCGTAGATATTTGATTATAAATCACTGGTCATAGATATTTGATTATAAATCACTGGTCATAGATATTTGATTATAAATCACTGGTCATAGATATTTGATTATAAATCACTGGTCATAGATATTTGATTATAAATCACTGGCTGGCTAGTACCAATACAATGTTTGTGTGCATGCGAGAGAGTGTGCTTGTGTATACATGCAGGTAGGCATATATGTGTGTGTGTGTGTGTAAGTGCACAAAAATAATGGAAAATGTTTACGAAAAGTTAAATGTAGAACAGTTTAATTAAGCAAATGTAGATTTCAGAGAATGAAGAATATTCCATACAATCTATATTAGCCTACTGTGAGATAGAATGTTCTTTAATGAATGAATCAATCAATCAGTCAAAACTGACATCTCAGGCACTGGAGAAATTCCCATATGTGATCTGTACCTTTCTTCAGTAGCCAAAGAAAAGTCAGCATGCTAAGAGCAACCTGATTAAAAGTCTGCCTATGTTTCCCCTTCAATGTTGAATATCTTCCAGAAGCTCTACTCAACTCCTGTTGAATAGGTCTCTCTGTGTATAGATTCTCTGTCTGTTTCTGTTGAATAGGTCTCTCTGGGTATAGATTCTCTGTCTGTTTCTGTTGAATAGGTCTCTCTGTGTATAGATTCTCTGTCTGTTTCTGTTGAATAGGTCTCTCTGTGTATAGATTCTCTGTCAGTTCCACTTTGGTCCCACAGAGTTTTCCCCACACACAATTTATCATAAACTAGCTCACTGCTCAGAGAATCAGCGGTTAGGTTTCAGTTAGTCTCCCCAAACAAAGTAGGTCACATTTTATGGATAAGTTTGTTGGGCTGGTCTACTTTCCTGCTGGTTACGGGTGTGCCACTCTGTTGTTTGCTTTCTGGGTTGTCTAGCATTTATGTTTTTATTTTGAGAAAGAGAATGCCTGTAATATAGGCTGCAGCATTCTCTAGAGGGGGGGGGGTGGAGGTGGGGGGGGGGTTGTGGTGGGGGGGTGGGTGGGTGGGTTGGGGGGGGGGGGGGGGGGGGGTTGTGTTAGACCCAGTTTGTCCATGTTTTTGGAGTGTTTAAAGTGCTGGCATGTTGAAATATACAACATGCAACATCAACGGCATTGCAGAACAACCCTGTAACCTTGTGCTAACTTCGTGTGGCTGAAGGTCTACCAATCACAAGTGAGCCAGTATGTATATGGGCGGTCTGTGGGGAGACCAAGGGTAGTTTTACCGGATCAGCAACAGCTAATCTATCATCCTGCTCGTTACCTCACACACCTGGATTACCTGGACAGACAATCCAGGACATGCCCCTGATCTGGGTCTTATCAAGTGATGCAAGCCACTCTGCATGTGCAAGATGCTGGTTTCCAGATTCCTTAACTCTCTGAAATCCCAGGGAGATAGCGTCAGAGGCCCAGAGGTTGTCAAGAGAGAGGTAAAATTGGCGTATCTTGCGTTCACTGGGCTTCAAACGTATGATGCGTTCCTTGTGACTCAAAGAGTTAATAACTATGTACTCTTAAGAACTATGTACAGAGCCAGTTTGGATGTATGAAAGTAAGTCATTGACAATCAGCTGACTGGTCTTTTTTCATTCTCTCTGCCAGTGGTTTTCAGATAAGAAGACCCACAACCGTCTATGAAGTCTACAGTGTGATATAAGTCTTCTACTGGTCCATAAAGCTTAATTTGCTTTATAAAGCCAATTGGACAGATCCAGGATCTGGTTTTACAGAAGAATGGTCAGTACACTATGAACAGATAAAAAGTATTAATGTTTTCACCCCATCAAAAGAAAAAGAAAAAAAATATTTTTAAAATTGTGTTTTAAAACAACTCATCTTGACAATACATTGAAGCTCTGCTAGACAGTTGTGAGCCATTACAATCTTACAATCAGAAACAAAAAAATATTTGCTCACACAAACATTCACAGATGGAAATACTAACAAATACATGGTTCATACACATACGCATATGCACACATATTTATGTATAAACACACACATATGCAGATGTATGCACATAAAATTATATATGTGTGTGAGCTTCCAGAACAACTGTTGAATACACACAGGAATCAGATTCTTACAGGCACAGAGATGCATACATCTTTGCAAATACAGCTGTGAACCTGCGCACATGCTGTCTCATGTACATAAAAAGTGCAGACACAAATACAGACACGTATACAGACACACATGCAGATACGTATACAGACACACATGCAGATACGTATACAGACACACATGCAGATACGTATACAGACACACATGCAGATACGTATACAGACACACATGCAGATACGTATACAGACACACATGCAGATACGTATACAGACACACATGCAGATACGTATACAGACACACATGCAGAAATGCATACAGACACACATGCAGATATGTATACAGACACACATGTAGATATGTATACAGACACACATGCGAATATGTATGCAGACACACATATAAACACATACAGACACATATACAAACACATATACAAACACACATACAGACACACATATAGACATACAAACAGACACACACACAGACACACATACAGACAAATATACAGACACACATAGAAACACACATACAGACACACATACAAACATACATACAGACACACACACACAGACACATATACAGACACACATGCAAACACACAAACAGACACACATACAGACACATATACAGACACACATACAGACACACACATATACAGACACATATACAGACACACATACAAGCACACATACAGACACACACATATACAGACACACATACAAACACACATACAGACACACACATACAGATACACATACAGGCACAAATATTCCATACCATCATCATTTTCCTTGTTAAGCTGATTAATTAGAAATGTAATTGGGTCATCTGGCCTTATGATCACCAACTGCTCAATCAGCCTCTGAATAAAGAAGATCATCGCAAAAATTGACCAGATTTCATGCTATCTGATTTACATCATTTTTTAAAACTTAAAACTGTTAACTCAGCTTAAAGTGGGGAACAGGAATTAGTGATCAGTGATTGTGTCTTCTATCCCCCAATGAAGCATAGGCCCTCAACCAACTCACGCCAAGTTGTTATATCCTTGGCTATCACATGCAGCTCTCCCCATGTCCTCCCCATCTTTTTAACCATACTCTCTAGCTGCCTTCTCCATGTTTTTGTTGGTCATACTTTATTCATATGCCCCTGTGGGTTCAAGTGCGAAGACACTGAAGTTATTTTGTTCTCAGGTTTTCTCAACATGTGTCCTATTAAACAACGCCGCAGTCTTTTCTTCTCTTGCCCACTGGAACTCGTCTAGTTCTCCCCCAAAGCTCAACATTAGTGATTCTATCATACCGCTTAATTTCCTCTGTACAAGCATCAGTTAATGAATGTTTGTAGTATATTTTTAAGTGCTTTACTTGTTCTCCATGTGTCCGTTCTATACAACAGTACTGATTTGAAATTAGAATTTAACATTTTTAAGTTTAGAATTAGTTTTAATTTCTTTTGACCTCCACAAATTTCCTAGTGCTATGAAAGCTGCTCTTGCCTATGGTGTTTGTATTTTAATATCTCTTTCAGTCCCCCATTCCCCCATCTTTATCTACATTATTGTCTAAACAGGTGTATGACCCCACGAATGTGTGGGTCACAGGACATGTCTAGGGAAGTAAGGGCAACCAGCTCCATGTTGACCACATCAATCATTAAGTGCCATTTGGTCCTTGCAAATCTTGGTCTGGCATCATATGCCCAGTGTGCTAACAACATGAGAGTAGTCCTTTACTTACAATCTAACATATACTTGTGGCGGGTAATTGCCGAAAAAAATTCAAAAACTGACCACTGCTGCTTGTAATTACCACTTGTGTGGTGTAGGTGAGGGATCTTCAAGTCTGAGGATTGAAGGCTGCATGACTAGTGCTGTCACAATTGACTGTGCTGGTTATTTTTGCTCTTGACATAAAGAAATCCCCAAGCTTGCTCAGGATTTGAACCCTGGTTTCCTGCATGAGAGCTCGTGTTTTTATCCATTTGACAAGGTGCACAACAAATCACTTAAGTTTCACATTCCTCTGTAAGTACTTCAATACCTTCAGAAGCCCTGATTTAAATCTTCTGTTGGCTGCTAATAGTCCATGCTTATATCTGCATGAGTGCTGTAGAAATGATTAATTATACATGTTTAATGGAAAGGGGGGGGGGGGAGTGGGTGTAACTGAGTTGCAGCCAGGCCCCTTTGGACTTGTTTTGTTTCTAACTTCTTCTTCCACAACTCTGGGTGTTGAGGGAGATATAATGTTGTGCTTTTTGTGGAAAATCCCCATTAATAGATCCATGTATTTCAAAGTGGGTGATATTTTCAACTTCTTTATTACAGATTGTACATTTTGGAGGATATAGTTGTGTACAGTTTGGCGGACATAGTTGTGTACATTTTGGCAGACATAGTTGTGTACAGTTTGGCAGACATAGTTGTGTACCTTTTTGGCAGACATAGTTGTGTACATTTTGGCAGACATAGTTGTGTACAGTTTGGCAGACATAGTTGTGTACCTTTTGGCAGATATAGTTGTGTACATTTTGGCAGACATAGTTGTGTACATTTTGGTAGACATAGTTGTGTACATTTTGGCAGACATAGTTGTGTACATTTTGGCAATCATAGTTGTGTACAGTTTGGCAGACATAGTTGTGTACAGTTTGGCAGACACAGTCGTGTACAGTTTGGTGGATTTACTCGTATACAGTTTGGCAGACATAGTCATGTACACTTTGGCGGACATGATTGGCACCTTTCCAGACGATAGTGTTATATTGCACTATGAGCTGGCATGGGACTCATCCCTAACTTTTACAACTGTTGGAAATGTGTCCAGATAATCAAGAGTTGGTAGCGTCTTCATGGCATTAAGAACACCATCTGTTAGTTTAGTATCGACTGCAAGAACATTTAAACAGGCTAAGATCAAAATGAAGAAGATATAACATTAAAATAAATACTACTACTTGGCAGACACAGTCATGCACAGTGTTCTCTGTACAGTGTTCTTGGTGGACATAGTCATGTACAAAACTGGCAGACATTGTTGTGTACAGTCTGGCCGACATAGTAGTGCACAGTGTTCTCTAATAATATTACCCCCCCCCACAATCCCCAAAAATCAAATTTCTAAAATCTATTTGGCTTTCATTTTCTCTTTTGACAAGGTGGATTTACCACTCAAATCCTGTAACACTACTGAATCATTCCATCTCTCAGTATGGATCATACACATATTTTGAAAAGCTATATTATAACAATTATTTTCACTGTTTATTTAAGTCTTCAAATTTCATTACAAAAAAACCTATCTACATCCACACAGCACTATATCAGATAATCATATTGTGTGACTTAAAATTTGAATGAGTCAATTACTCGACTTCCCCATCATCATCAATTTCCATTTGTGCGTAACCATCGTGTGGAGGTACAGTTTGTGATCTATTGCTTGTTGGACAGCAATGGCTATAATGTCATTCTGTGTAGATCTATAAGCTCTTTAATGTCATCAATTCATGTTCTCCTAGGGGTTTTCACTTCAGAATTGTTCATGTGTAGCGCCTGCGCTGGTCGTTTTTCTGGATGCATTCTAACTAGATGACCAAAACATGTGATCTTCTGTTTCCTAATGAATTTGCCGCATAGTGTTGTTCTTACAGTCGGTTTGATAATATCATTTCTAACATTTCTAAAATTGATGCACATGCAACACTCAGGTTCTAGAGCAGGACTGCACTTCAGAAGTGGACGAACAACCAGAACTTTCCACCAGAGTGTACAGCTGGTGAACGATATGAAGAAGAAGAAGATTTATAACTTTGCCTCGGATAAGTAGGCAGCGTTTCTCAAGCAATTCATTTCACAGGTGTTAATTTTACGTAGGTTAGCCTTTGATAATGTCCAAGTCTGGCACTGGTAGCATAGTGTTGGTATGAACATGCTGTCTATAATCTGTTTCTTGGCACTCATACTTATGTCAAGATGTCCTAAAAAACAAGTCATTTTTTATATAAGTGAACTAGCTCGTTTGCATGTTGTTTCTATTTTCTGATCTGTTCCGAGCGTTTCTGCAGATGATAATAGCGACTATTGACAATTTCGAGACATTACAGACGATGAAAGCGATTTGGCGGGCAGACCACGAGCTTCGCCGCAGATTAGCAATACTGTTCGTCCGATTGAGGATTTAGCAGCGGTAGATGTCAGACCTGCCGACTGTATCCTCACACTTTTCGGCATGCGCAAAATGCGATTAAACTCACCGTCAAGCATATCCCCCGCGCCGCTATGCGCTGCGCAGATGGGGGGCTAAACTAGGTGCCTGGGACTCAGGAGCAAATTAATTGGAGGAAGTTGCAGGAGATGCGGTAGCTGCTGCTCGTGAGTACCAGCCATCTAGTTTAGCCCTAATCCGCGCCGCACAAAGCGGCGCAAGGGTTACAATTGGCGGTGAGGCACAGTCACAGAAACAGGTTCGCAAGTAACATATCACTGAGACCTTGTTAGAGCATTTGTTTCGTTATACGGAGCCTGCATATTTTTAATAGAACTGAGCCCCGTAAGGATATTTTATGGCTGCCATAATATTAGGACGCCGTTTGGAGGAGAGCCAAATTCTTTAATTTGCTTCAGACATGTGCCATTCAAGTTGAATTTCAACTAGATAAATAGCGGACCTGCTTTACTTCAGTTTCAGTATTTATTTTAATGTTATATTTTCTGCCTTTTGAACTTAGCCTATTCAAATGTTTTTGCAGTCTATCTATCCCCTCATTTTAAAAAGAAAAAAAAATAATCAAAGGAGTATCAGTATTGTTTATTGTGTGTGAAAGTCAATTCATAATGTCACAAAATTCGCCAAAATTCTAATAATTTCGGTTATATTTAAATTAGTAATACCTTATACATATCAAATATGCCATGTTTTTCTGCATAAGTTGCAAACTCGGGCGGGATTCGTAAAGGTCTTTTTGTTTGATCCAT